ACGAGACTTCACTTGTCCACTAGGGGTAACCTAGGGGTTTAAAAAGCTTATTGCATACGCTAAATGTAATCGTGTTCCCTACGAAAGTGGCGTTATCCATTTATTGTTTTCTAGTCCATAGTTGTATAGTTGTTCATTTCATTCCTTTACTTTCTAGTTCATTGCTAGGGACTAGCAATATTTAAGTTTGGGGGTGTGATGATGTGATACCCTTAGGGGTATTACAGATGAGCACTGAAAAGTGCGCATTTTAACCCTTTAAGCTTAGGTATTCTAGGACCTTTATCTATTTTACTTTCCCGTTTTAGACTAATTTCGTGTTATTACCCTTTTTAGGTGCTTATCCCCAAAATAAGCTAATTCAGCAAAATAAGAGCTTAAAAGAAGCAAATTCAAGCTGGATAGAAGAAATGAGCAAAGTGGAAGCAGATTGAAGCAAAGTATAGAATTCAGCATGTTCGGTCGATCACAAAAACACTTCGATCAATTGAAAGTTCATCGATCTAGACATTTCAAGATGGATCCAAGCTCTTTTGTCCTTATCCAAAGATCCCACAAAGTTCGATTGATCAAACAATTCTCAGATCGATCGGAAAGATTCCATCTTATCCTGTTGTACCACCCCACCTACCACTTTTATCTCTTTCCCCAAAATATCTCAGATCTGTCCTTATCCAAAAAGGCGCTGCCATGGGAAGATCGATCTAGCCAAAGTTTGATAGATTTCAGCCACGTTCGATCGATCACAACACATGTTTGATCGATCGAACCCTCTCAAATATGAAAAAAAATATATTTCCAGCTCATTAAAAGTTGTCTCATTGTGTAATCATTGGAGGAGCCCTTGTGTACAAGCCTAAACTATTGGGTGTGACATTTAAGCTACCTATATAAGGAATATGAGTCACTTTTACATATATGCTTAGATATATGTTTTTGGGTAGATAGTTTTTAGATACAATTCTTAGAGAGGAAGAAAAGAGAAGAGGAGATTAGAGACATTCTTAAGAGGTTTTCCATCTTCCTTAAGAAGAAGAGCATTTCTACCATGGAGATAACTCTTGAGGGTTGGAGGACACCATTCATAAGTGGCTAGACATCTTCTTGGGGCTAGAGTTAGCCCTAAGTATGCTTTCTTTACCTTGATTTATGTATTTTTTAGGGAATTTGTGTTGTAAGACATGTTTTGACATATTTATATACATAGATCTTGTTTATTCAATGATTTGTGTGATTTAATTCTTTCAATTGATCATTTTATTCTATCCATATGCCTATGTATGCTAGGATAGATGTTCATGTGTTTATCTCTATCTCTTGTGTTGTTGGTGCATGTCTATGTGTGTTGATACTATAGAACTAGAGATTGTCAAGACATAATGCTTAATATAATGCTCTTGCGGTTTATTCGATGGTTCATACTCATTTCTTGATAGATTGTGCCTCTCCCTTAGTCTAATTAGTTTAATTTCCATGTCATTAGCTTAGATGTAGTGTAGCTACCTTAGTTGTTTAATGGGAAGACAATCTATGCTTGCTGTTTGATGCAAGTAGTATATTTCTTTAATTTTTTGATGTGTTTGGATTGTGAGCTTAAAGAAGAATTAATGGCTTACTTTGATATATTGTGCTATTCATTGTGTTGTCTAGACAATATACACTTAATTGGTCATTCACGCTTGTTAAAACAACCACACATACTCACTATTGTTGCAACATATGCCTTCCCCTCATTAATTATGAATTGAGTGTATAGAAAAGTGATGTTTAGTGGTAATCTCTAAATCCCAAGATCTCTCTCTCTCTTGTTTTCTTTATCCTTTAATTACTTGCTTGATATTGATCTCGTTTAGTTTTAATTGTAGTTTAATCAACCAAACAACCTACCTTTGATCACTCGACCTACTAAACCTAAGCCTTGTTTTCACTACTAATGCACCCTTAATCCTTTGGGACGATCCCTACTCACCCTTGCTATATTTTTAGTTAGTGGTAGTAGTGACATTTATAAATGTAAAACTTGGCCACACTATTTTGCACAAATTTTGTTGCACACCACGACAGGACACCAATGATCGAACCCTAACCCAATTTTAAAAAATATTCCAAATTGAAATGGGTTGAACATATCTTTACCAAATTGACTTCATAGCTCTCTATCGGATGTTAAGGTGACGACATGTGGACCAGGTTAACGTTAAGGTGACGGTGATGTTGGTGGCGGAAGTGAGTTGGTTATGGGGGGTTCAATTGGGTTTATTATGTATGGATGTTAGACTCGGTTATGTGGTTAAGTATGAATTATTTGAGTTTCCAAGATCGTGGTTCGATTGGGTGGTAGGAGTGGTGGGGTGGTGGCGATGATGGTGTTGGCGACAGTGGGGTGGTGGTAGTGGGGTTGTGGGGGTTCAGTTGGGTTTATAATGTATGGATGGTTGGGTGTGATACGTTAACATAACCAATGGCATAAACAGTTCCCACACCCGATTTTGCAAATATAGTGACAAGGCACATTAAACAGCCCATGATTCAACGTAAACTCCCACCGCATATCCTTCAAGAACACGCGCGCTACTCAGCTTCAACACCATCAATTGCCAGATGATGGCGATTTGGGCGGAGATGGTGAGATGTTCGTGTAAAGAACTTTTAAAAAATGAAAAATGTTGTTTTTTCTGCTAATACAATTTTTTTTTTTTTTGGTCTTTGCTATTAACCAGAGAGAGTTCTTTACAATACCAACACTGATCAATCTAGGTCCGTACACCTACAACATAAATAACGATGAAATCATCACCAAGTGGATTGTGTTCGGGATACTATTGGAGGATTCTAAAATTTATTCATGTTGAAGAGTGGCAATTTTTTATTTTTTATTTTTTTATCTGGTGTAAAGAGGAAGTGCTGTGGCACTAATGTCTTTTGTGGCGAAGATTAACGATGATTAGTGAGGCAGTCTAATCTTATGATAATTCATTGGGGTTGTGCTGAGGGGAGGATGGTGGAGGAGTTGGTTTCGATCGTGCAACGAAGTTCACAGTGGTAGAGGCGATGGTGATGGAGATATAGTCGTTTTGCTGTGTTGTGTTCTGGCTTTCTGAATGGGTTTACTATTTCCTGTGGTGAGTCTGGTGATGATATAAAGTTGTTTGGCCTATACAATTGTGATAAGGTTGTGTGTTGTCACTCTGTGATTAGTCAATTATATTGCCAAGCTAATATTCATCTACTTAAAGTAATAAATTCTCGAAACGGCGTAGTTTTGATTTAAGGGTAAAATTATTTTTCTACACTTCCGGCAACGGCATCTGATCAGGGCAATTTTCAACAATTCAATAGTTCTAGGGGGTTTGTTGTAGTCCAGGTGGTTATGTGCAAATGTGGGATACTTCAAGGGAGTTTTTATGCACTTTACCCTATTTTCAATTCGTATTTTAATTTCGCCATATAGCGTTAATGGATTGAAAGGTGTAGGGACAGATCTCAGATAGGTCTTATCAAAGCATTGCCAAATCATAGTGAAAAAGTCGATTCAACACCCTTCTATGACAAGTGCTATATGTAAATGCAAACACCCTTCCATGACACAACGAGTTTTAAAGCCGTGATGGTCGTGAATCCATCAGAACTCCGGAGTTAAGCCTGCTTAACCTGGAGTAGTATCAGGATAGGTGAACCCTGGGAAGTCTCTGGTTCGGAGGAGCCAAAAATGGACAAATTTGTGTTTGGGTAAGGTGAGGGGTTGTTGCACCAATAATGTTAATTGTGTAAAAGCGGACAATATTATGGTAAAGGTTGCTACACCAATAATATTTTTTATATTCTTTTTATTATTGGCAAGAAACACACATCCCACTCATATATTCACTTTAACTCTTTGAAGACTCGAACGTTTCACCATCCACTTTAAGGAATAGACAAGATACTGAGTTTCACAAGACCCTTGATATGTTGCGATCTAAAATTCATTTATCTAACATCAATTAACAACTTATATTATATCTTAGATTATATTTTGTAATTAAGATTAATAAATATATAATAAATATATTTGCTAAACAAGAATTGAATTTGAACCTTAACATTGAAGTTAGAATGCAAGTATAAATACCATTACAACTAAACCTAAGTAATGCAATATTGTTTTATACAATTGAGGCCTTGTCGTGGTACAGTGATATGGATTTAGATAACCTGTACAGGTTCAGTCCCAAACCAGTTCCAAACACACCCCTCCACTTCCAATCCACGCCTTTTGCAATGGAGTAAAATCTCGTCTTTCCTCTATCTCTCTCTAAAATCTGACCCACATGATATAGGTAGCAGCGACGTCGAAGCGGACTTCGCGAAGCTCCAAGGCGAGGACTTTGAATACTACATGCAAACGTATTCGATCATACTCGGCCACAACAGCAAGAAATCCACCGTCGACGTCGACCTCTCCTCCCTCAGCGGCGGCATGAACATTTCGCGCCACTACGCGCGGATCTTCTACGACTTCCAGCGGCGCCGATTGGAAGTCTCTGATCCGAAGGAACCAAAAACGGACAATTTTGTATTTGGGTAAGGTAAGGGTTGCTGCACCAATAATGTTAATTCTGTAAAAACGGAGAATATTATGGTAAAGGTTGTTACACCAATAATATTTTTTATATTCTTTTTATTATTGGTAAGAAACACACATCCCACTCATATATTCACTTTAACTCTTTAAAAACTCGAACGTTCACCATGCACTTTAAAGAATAGACAAGATACTGATATTCACAAGACCCTTGATATGTTGCGATCTAAAATTCATTTATCTAACATCAAATCAACAACTTATATTATATCTTAGATTCTATTTTGTAATTAAGATTAATAAATATATTTGCTAAACAAGAATTGAATTTGAACCTTAACATTGAAGTTAGAATGCAAGTATAAATACCATTACAACTAAACCTAAGTAATGCAATATTGTTTTATACAATTGAGGCCTTGTCGTGGTACAGTGATATGGATTTAGATAACCTGTACAGGTTCAGTCCCAAACCAGTTCCAAACACACCTCTCCACTTCCAATCCACGCCTTTTGCAATGGAGTAAAATCTCGTCTCTTCCCCATCTCTCTCTAACCTCTCTTTCTCTCTCTAGAATCTGACCCACATGATATGGGCAGCAGCGACGTCGAAGCGGGCTTCGCGAAGCTCCAAGGCGAGGACTTCGAGTACTACATGCAGACCTATTCGATCATACTCGGCCGCAACAGCAAGAAATCCACCGTCGACGTCGACCTCTCCTCCCTCGGCGGCGGCATGAATATCTCGCGCCACCACGCTCGGATCTTCTACGACTTCCAGCGGCGCCGATTTGCCCTAGAAGTCCTCGGCAAGAATGGCTGCTTCGTCGAGGGCGTCCTCCACCTCCCCGGCAACCCTCCGGTCAAGCTCGACTCTCAGGACCTCCTCCAGATCGGCGACAAGGAGTTTTACTTCCTCCTCCCCGTCAGGAGCATCCTCGGAGGGCCGATCGGGCCGCGCCACCACGTGAATTATCCGGCAGTGGCGCATCATCTGCCGCCGCCGGGGGCGGTGTTTGGGGTGGGGAAGAAGGTAGGTAGGGGTAGGGTTATGGTGAGCAATGAGTATTTTGAGGATGAGTATGAGGATGAGGAAGGTCGTGGTGGTGGTGACGAGGGGAGTTTGGGTGGTGGTGCTAAGAAGATGAGGAGAGGAGGAGATGGGCACGAGACGTATGGGTACAGCACAGCGGGTTCGGGTGGGAAACCGGTGTCGTCAGGACAATTGGGTAAGCATTTCTCTTTATTGTCTTGATAATTTGAGTAAGAGATGCATATTAATTATATATTGTTTTAAATGGTTATGGAGAATCGTTTTAAGTGTTTAAGGTATTTGATGTTTGAGACTTGAATTTTGTGATTGTGAGGATTTATTTGGATGAGGGACAACAAGAACAAGAACTTTCTTTGGTTGTTGCAGTGAATTCACGCTGTAATACTTGAATAGTTCTGTTTGTTTTAGTCTCAGCTTTCTACTTGTGCTTGTATGTGTATGTTTTCCCATTCATCTTGGATCACTTGAATTGCATGACTTTTAATTGTAATGTTGTTGCAAGTCATATGATTTATGAATTGTGCTATCTGCATAACTGTGTGCTTGTAAATTACTTGTTCCTGCATTTGCTTCTGAGATTAATTTGATTGGTTGGATACATTGAAGGTCTATTATAAAATAAATCGTCATCTTGCTTGCATACTTGTTGGAGGGAGGATTTGACCTTATTTACAGAGTGACCTATAACCCATCTTTATTTGTTTTGAAACTATTATAGTTTTCTTGCTCATTTAGAGGGTTGGCTATGCTGGGTAAGATATATGTGATTTCATTGATATTGTGTCGTAAATGTAGATGGAGAGTTGTTTAAGGGTTTGTGATGTTTGATATTTAAGACTTTTGGTTTTCATGATTTTGGGGATTTGTATCACAAGGGACACCCGTAATGAAATTTATCTTGACCGTTGTACCGAATATATAATGTAGCCCTTTAATGGTTTTGTTTACTTTAGTCTCAGCTTTTGCCTTTTCCCTCTGTGTGTGTGTTTTTCTTAATAATATGCTCTTGGTGTAGGGCTTTACTTGACTGCTTACTGTGTGATTATTAATTGTTTTGTTGTTGTACTTATCAAAAAAAAAAAATTGTTTTGTTGTTGTAATTGTTATGATTTACAAGTTATGCTATTTGCATAATTGCATTTTTATGAATTACTTGCTCTTAGATATTTCTTCTATTGGTTGGATATTTCTTTTTCTTTAGAATTCCCCTTTGTTATCCTACCAATTATAATTCGTCTTTACCCTGTTTGAACCATTTAGAGGGGTTGCAATGTTAGGTAAGTAGAGTTGGGTTTGTGAAGTCAACAGATCATGAATATGAACCCAAACCTGTTACTCATCCCAGCTGCACTATGATAGCTTAGAGCAATCAAATCAGCCCAGCTTTTGCCGACTTACAAGTTAGGGAAAATTTTTTATCGCCTTACTGGAACAGCTCAATGTTATGCAGAAGATTGTTGATTTCTACCTGTGTTGGCCAGCAAGCAATAGGCCTCAAATGGGTGTTCTGGCTACAGTCAAATTGTAGCACATAAATAAATAATTCTTCCCTATTTTTCTTAAATTTTGTATTTGTGTGTTAAATGTAGTTTGGATGCTTTCTATATGTTCCGAACCTTTGCGCCTGTCTAGGCAACTGTTCCCTTCTCTTGTTTCTAACTCTCTGCCTCACTTGCCCCCTCAATGCTTCTTAGGTTATAGTCTGACTAGTGGTGGTGAAGTAAAATACATCTTTCTAAGGCTGGTGCACTGCAGCGTTAATGGGAGATACTTTACCATGTGTGTGGATGAATTCTTGCTTCATAAGATGTTACACTTAACTGAGTATTAATTTGCTATAATAAGCATCAGGATTGAAAATTTTGTGGTTTTCTCAAAAAAAGTGGTGATACTTTGATCTACTTGACTAAGGCACTTATAAAAAATAATAATAATAAAAAAAATATTCTACTCGACTAAGGAGAAACCACACCTGTCCCTCCTTGGGTAATTATTGAAGCAGTCTGTTAATAGTGCTGTTTTCAGTGACATTAAGTGAAAAGTATTGACTTCAGTGACACTTTTTGGTAGGTTTTGGCTTTTACTTTATTACTACATTATGATTGTACTTGTGAATGTGTTGTTTGTGCATATAAATGCATAAAACATATGATAACTATAGCTAATAGAACCAACATTGGGATATTGGAATTGTCCAAAATCCGTTTATGACTACTAGTTTGTGCTAGTTGCTCATTATTTTACTAGTTTTTGTTGTTGAATGGTCAATAGACCCTAAAGTGAGCAAAACTTTATAAATGAATGGACATCATAATCCTCTGAACCAGAAGTTTTTTTTAATGATCATTATTTGCTCAATTGACTTGCCTGATAAGTAAATGAGAGAAATGTTTTTGGAGATTATGTTTGGTAAGTTCATTATTTTGCATTAGCTTCAGGCTTACTACCTTGGTTGGGACATAGTGTCATCAACAATGTGTATCACATCACAAGAAAGTGTCATCTGATGCTTGAAGTTTACTTGACTTCATCTGTTATTTAATTCATGTACTGCAACATGAATCCAGATTGAGCTAAAAAACTTAAGCATGTGATCATTTAAGCTGATGGTTTAGAAAATGTTTACAACTCTCTTCCAATATTATTGTCATTTAGAACTTAAAACTTTTGGGGGAAGTGATTGTACACTTAAATTCATTTGGATAAGCAGGAAGGAATGGATAGCATTAGTTATATGAGAGATAAGAAAGGAAAGGAGATGATAATGTTAGCCTCTCTTCATGTTTGAATAGCTAGCGAAGGAAAAGGGAAAAGAATGGATAGCAGTAATTCTTCGTTGTGTTTGAGAAAGATGGTGGAGTAAAAGGAATTTATTATGAGACTACAATTGCAAAATATGAATTCACTTGTCATAAACAAAATAGGGGCAAAAGTTATACTCACTATTTCCCTTTTAAAGTTTTACAAGGCTCTTCTTCTCTCACCTTGCCCTCCCTCTCTCTCTCTCTCTTCCTTCAACTCCTTCAATCCAAACTGTTGTTTGCCTTATTGTTTAGTGTGGTGAAATTATTTGTGGGATTTTAAAGAAAATACAATCCCTCGTTGTTTGATTGAGTTTTTTCATGGACATGAACATAAGAATAAGAATCTGAGGGTAATGTATGCCAAAAATTTAGATGCTGTCAAGATGAGAAGTTTGGCAAGTATAATATTAAGAATTAATTTTATAAAACTAAATTAAAGAGATACGTTACAGTCCAACCTACAATAATCAATTCTGGAATGAAATCGCAATCAGCTTCTGCATGCGTGAGAGCAGCAGTTTTTTTTCCATTACAATTTCTATCGTCTTGAGTCATGCACTTGTATTACTTAATCCTTTGAATCCATATATGGATGTCATATTTGGTGTGACGTACTAAGTCACATGTATTTGGTCCAAATGACTTGGGACGTAAAATTTTGCTGGTGTTCAGACTTAGGTTTGCTCTGAACCCATTCCATCCCACCTTGAGTTAGGCATGAAGATGCCAGCCAAAATTCAGCAATTGCTCTAACTTTTTCTAATGAAATACTATTGAAGTTGCAAATATTTTTTTTTACTAAGCTGATTATACAAACTGTTAGTTTTTCTCCATGGCAAATAACAGACCCGCACATTTTGTCCCCTATGGGGACATGAAAAACATCCACATCGGGAGGTAGATGAGATACCCCTTGGCTACAACCCTTGGTGCTCAAAACTGACACCTTTCCTAATTGATTCTTTGGGGTTCTTCTTTTCAGTTCCACTAATCAGTACAGTATTGTCTATCAAGTTCAATATTTGCCATGCGGCTCCTGCCATATCTAACTACACCACCTTATGTCTTTGTTGCCCTTTTGTTTGTTGTGGTACTGCGCTATCATTTTCAGTTTGAATCTTACTGTCCTAGTACTATTGAGTTTTTCTATTTCACATGATGCATCCATCTCAGCTGATTGCCTCTCATCTTCTTCACATTTTATGCTAACTCAAACTCTTCACAAATGCAGTCACTCACCTGCGCATACAGCGCAGTTCTTCGTTTCGAGTTAGTCTGTAATCTGTATAATTTATTTTATGTCGAATTAGGCCAGGCCTGTGTTGTGCAGGCTGCAGCTAGGTTCAAACTTGTGCTTTTTCATGTCTCCAAAAGTATGTATTATTACAAACTCAACAAGATAGCAGATGAGACAATCTAAGCCTAACCCAGCCTGCCTTTAAAGTCTTATTTTTGGCTAGGACAAGATTGGCTAAATTTTTGCAAAAAAAATAGACTTTAACTATCTTACATGGACTTTTGGGTACAAGTTGTTGGGTATGGGTATGTATCGAAGTTTTGGATGTGTCAAATCCCCAAACCGAAGGACACAGGGACTCTGTTAGATCTTCATAGTATTTATTTTATACTCTAAAGCTAAATAACATCATCGTATAGCATAACATTCAATATAGGAGTTCCACTCATTTTGAACAATGATATAATAAAATTGAATTATATGAAATACTTTTTAGATGCATGTCCGATCAAAGCGTCGAAGATATATCCTATACCCATGTATGAGTATTGTGTGGATACTTCACCTTCTTTTGAAGAGCCCTTAGGCCTGGATTCAACCAATCCTACCAGACTAAATTGGCCCAACATATATTTGTCATAACATTTACTAGTTGAAGAACATTGTATGCTTGTTTATTCTTTTAAAGTATGTATAATTTCGCGTCTTGTGGTGTTTAGGAGATCTTTTGAAGGAAAGGAGACCCCTGTTGGCTTGTTGATGTTCTCCATTATTAGAACTCTTTTTTGCTGGGTTCTATGGAGAAATTGTAAATCTATGGATGAGGTAGTTGATTTTTTTGACTCCTTGACAGTTTAGAGGCCCTTTTTGGCCTTGTGTAGTTTTTGAGAGATGCATTCCCCTTTTGAACGCTTCTTAATACAATCTTACTCATCAAAAAAAATATATATATGATTAATTTCGTCATTGTGAAGTCATAAGTAATGGCAGTAACCAATTTCTTATAGTTTGATGCCTCACTGGCTTTCTAGCATGGCTAAGTTCACAAGGACTCGAATGGATGGAGTATCCGCTAGAGAAAGTCAATGAAGTCTGTGATTGCTAACCAATCAACAATGTATGCTTCTTCCATAA